CCTTGGTGGCATCTCACTGTGGAGTGCCAGTGACTTAGATGCAGATGTGCAAGAACAGGCGGTACCCTCTGCTCTCTTCTCTACGGGCCGCCTTCTGAATTAATTAAAAGCTGGGGGTGAACGGAGAGATATTCTATTAAGTTAGAATGTTCTTTTTAAATTTTCAAGTCTTCAATAGGATTTTCTTATCACTTGGCCAAGTTGTATTTTATGAGAATTAACGGGAGTCCTCCCCTGGTGGGCAAAGCATCGCGCTTTCCAGATATGAGTGTGCGACCCATTTGCCCAGAGAAGCTTCGGCATCTAGAGGGGCTGCTCACTGAGCCAGACAGCTGAGGAAACAGCTGAGCCCCGTGCACCAAACGCCCTGCGAGCCACGAGCCTGACAAAACACAGGTGGCTTCCAGCCATATGGGGCATGCAGGTATTCCTTGGGCAGAATGAAAAGCAGAGGAGAGAGCCGTCTGCTATACTCTGATCGAAGGGAAGTGGTTATCTATGCGAAACAGGTGAAAGAGAAACGCTCTGCAGTGTCCTTCCTGTACGTGATGACTGATAAACCTCAGGGACACACGAGAGAAATGGGTGAGGACAGAGATGTCATTGAATGAAAACTCCAGGCTGTGACGGGGTGGCAAGACATGAAGCAGTAATTAACAACATAATTTTTAAAATGATGATGTAATTAATTAACATCCTGAGTATGTAGGGGGTGGCAGTGGCAGGTAGCGGGGGGTGGGGGAGGGTGGGCGTCTTTCAGCCCAGAAACACTGCTAAATAAAGGAGAAGGGAACTCGGCATTTAAAAAAAAAAAACTACATGCCAAAGGCCTGATTATCAAGACTTCAGCAAAGCTCACAAGATCAACCCAAGAGGTTTCTCATGGCAGAGGAAGCTGACGAATGAATCAACCTGTGTTTCATTTTATTCGGGAGCTTGTAATTCATTTTATTCTCGTGTGTGGGGGATAGCTATTGGGCTAGATAATGAAGTTGGCAGACGTTCAGCTTTCACTCCCATCTCGGTTGAGGACTGGTCTCCCCTAAGGACCCCAAAAGCCTCCTTGGGTGGGCTCCCAGCCTGTGGAAATTCACATGCTGCCCAAGACTGCTGGAACGGGAGTGCTGTGGGAGCTGACCGTAATCTGCTCAGCAGGTGACTTTCCGAAACCGCTGTGAGGCTCACTTGTGTGAATGAGCCTGGACAGAATAGGGGCCGCAGAGAGCAGTGGCTGGGCCACGACTCACGCTGACCACAGTGAGAATGGTCATCCCGCCTGCCTGGGGGTTTGAAGATGACAGCTGGACAGCTGGCTATGCATCCTGAGCTCGCTTCTGGAAGGACCTCTTCACACTAGTTTCTGGGCTCCTTATAACCCAGCAAACTCAACTACCCCTTCATGGGTGCAGGACCCATAGCATCCATGATCGAGATGGCCATCTTGATGGGGTCAGTCAAGAAGTGGATGGCCTGCTGGGAGTCTTGTCGTGACCTCGGGGTTTTTCTTACTCTCAAGCGACTTTCCAACCAAGGCTATTGATCACAAGACGTTTGGGGAGAAAACTTACCTTTATACAGCCGCCCCCTGCCTAGGACTCAGTACAGGGTGAAGTTTGGGTTTATCTACATTTACATTTTCTATGCTAAAATTTTCTTTTGCCACAATCTCCTGTTCCCTCATGCCTAATCCAGTCATTTTTTAAGACCGGAAGGTGCTACCCAAAGTTATAACAAAAGAGAAACCTGAGAACTTGGCTTAAAATGAGGGTCACTTTATTGAGTTGCGGCTCCTAAAGCATGTGACACATATAAAGAAGACATGGGCTGTGTGAAGAGCATTGACGTCCTTGACCTTCCATTGCAGGAATTGGGTCTTCAGCACACTTGCCTCTTGCAAGTCACACACACGGCTCTGGAAATTGGTGTTGTCTAGATACAACTTGAAGTGGAAACTCACCTCCATGCAGTTACCAGGGCTGTGCAGATGGCATTGAGCAAGTCGACCTAGCTACAGGGGGGTTGGTGGGAAGGCCACTGTTAACGCAACAGAAAAGTACTATTACATTACGGAATAGTTTAAACTCTTTTTTTTTCCTAAACTAAATTTGGCCTAAGGTAGAAATCTAAAGGGGAAAAAAAAAAAAACCTTCATTACCACTGAAACAAACAAACAAACAAACACTGAAATACTTAGTCATTTATAGAACTAAAGTTTAAGATGAATACTGTCCCAGAGTCAAGGGGCTGAAATAGGTTTACGATGACTTGGTTTCGATCCAGAAGATGCTCTTCATATAACGATGGACTCTACCTATTACAAAACTCCTCATTCAGAAAAGAACATTTTACCAAGATTTTTCTTTGATCTGCATAAACGGCTGCTTGATATTTCACAGAATTATAAAACCACGTATAACGCAGAAATCGTCCTGGAACACGTGTACCTCCTTTACTTTACAACGAAGGTTACTTTCGAGAACAAAGGTGCTGTTTTCAAACAAATGTGGTCATTACCTGTGGGGCGCAAGGACACACGGCACATTTGGTTTCAGCAGAACCATCCCTACAGAAAGTGACCACGTTCTCACGAGGAACCAAGACATTTCCACACCATGAAGGAAGGCGGTGGGGGAGGGGAGCAAGGAGCCCTGCATGAGCAGCTGAGTGTCCAGACACCGCAGGACACGCACGAGTTCAGCGCGGGGCCAGGAGCCCCCATCTCGGCTTATGTCACATCCGCGAAGAGCTTCGAAGAGTCGTCCTCAGCCTTGTCAAGGCGCTGACTGGTCCGCATCATTCCTGCAGGCTGCTGAGAAAGCAGCACAGATCCACCACTTCCTTCTCCTCCAGGGGAGTGGAGCTCGGTGGACACGGGATTTCAGAAATTCAAGCCATCTTCCTCCATAAGACAACTATTTTACATTGATTTTGCGGAACCGGCTTCTGGGCTCTCCACGCTTGTTTTTTCCCCTCTACTTTCTTCTTCTTTTCTTGACAGCGGATCCATAAAAAGCGAAAACCACAAAAAACATCACCTTGGGAGACAGAGAAGACGAAGACAGATCGGACCACACGACAAGTGTCTCGGCCTTGGCCTACGCGGGAGCAGTGAAGACCGCAGCGAGCGATGTCTGCTCCGCCGCCACCGCTGCTCAGCACTGTGTCTAGACAGCTGGACAAGTGCGGAAAGAACGGGGCTGAGTCCCGTCCGTGTCGCTCGGCCGCGCAGCTCATGGTGTCGGAGGTGGCTTCGGAGAGGGACTCGAGCTCTCGCTGTCAAAGCTGGCAGCTCGGCCCTGCCACTGGCGGGAGGAGAAGAAGCTGGTTATTGGTTGCCAAGGGAATCGACAGTTCAGCTTCCAAAACTTATCTGGCCCATGCACTGAATTTACCTTTCCCGGCTTCTTGTAAGCTTTCTTGAATTTTGCTGTCAGCCATGCAAAAACATAAGGAAAATAGCTTTAGGGCTCTTAGCTGGGAATATCTGACTTTTAAAGAAGACCTATTGCACAGAAAAGTGAAGCTTTCTTCCGAGTGTGTGTGTGTGTGTGTGTGCGTGTGTGTGTATGTGCAGTGACTGAGCCATTTCTGAGTGCTTCAGCCATTTTTCACACTGAAAATCGGATTACGTTAGCAGTGAAAGAGGCAGTCTGCAGAGTATGCCCTTACTGCCAAGAGCCCACAATCATGAATTATTAGCACTTTGTCTGGGAGCCGTTAGTATAGCTGAAAATCTGACACTGCGTTAGCTCTAGGTTCTCTTCTTCAGCTCTTCAGTCTGAACGCTCCGAGGGGCGTTCGCCTGGTGCGGGTGATAGCAGCCCCCCTTGGGCGCCCCCACCCTCCTCCTTAGTTCTCGTCTCAGGTTGCCTCTCACAGTCTGACCCTAACCCTTCCATGAAAGTGGGTGATGTAATGAGTCGGGATGGAGCGAAGGGGAGGGCTGAGGACGGACAGACCCAGGCTCGAACCGTTCGGTCCTTCTTTAAGCTGGTCAGTCATGGACAGAGCAGTGTTTTCTGGGCAAGGAGCTGACCCTGTGAATATGCTTGACCTCTCTGGGGCTTGTGACTTCAAAGCGAGTCAGCGTCCACTGCTCACTCCATCCTTTTTGTGAGCTGAGGAGACCCAGTACTCTCCTAGGTTCCCCAAAAATAAGGCTCCAGAGATAGAGAGAGAGGTTAGGGAGGGGTCAAGACAGCCTTTCTGAGCCTGAAGTTCAGTCCCCTCCCTGCTTCTCGTGAGCTTCGGGGGTCTCCTCGTGGAGCGATGGGGCAGAGCAGACGCTGCACCTCGCGTTTGTGTATGTATCGGGGCGGGATGGGGAAGGACACAGTTGTCCTCCCAGCACAGCTATTTCTAGACAAAGCCAAGCCAGCTAAGGAACAGCCCACGTGCCATCCAACGTCTCCTGTGGAGCGATGGGAAAATCATGACGCCGAGGACAGACCCAGACCTGCCGAACGCCTCATGCTCCCGGCTCTGAAGAAAGCGTGTATCATCCTCCCCCAGGCTTAGTTCAGGGCCCCTTAGTGCTCCCTGTCCTGGCCAACCCGCAGATCTTCACAACTAACCAGAGGCTGGACAATCGGGTACTGACAACCGCGATCACATGACCTAAGCCTGAGCAATCTTAGCGTGGCAGACCTGGAGGCAGGCCTGGGGGACCATCTAGTCGAAGTCTCTTGCTATTGCAGATGAGCAAATGGAGACACAGAGATGTCAAGACGCAGCCGGCTGGGGGTGGGGCCCGGATCCAAAACCACGTCTCCTCACTCCCTACTCAGTGCTCCTTCTGAGCTGCCTGCTGCCATCTTGGCATCTGGCCACACCAGGGGAAGAACGGGACACGAGTGTAATAAGAAACCTAACCTCTTCGGGTCCACACCAGGTACTTACTCCTAACTCCGGTGGTAGTCTCTCTGCTTGCGGCATCCGCGTGAATGCAATCACAACCGAGGGTTTCCCTGGTGAAATAGTTTACACAGATAAATGCCCGGTTGTTGAGCCCATTTTGACTTCTGACTCAAGCGTTTCTTAACCAGAAGGTGACATACCACGATTTGCTTTCGTTTACCAGACCTTCGTTTTAGAAGTCCTACTTTTTCTGTTACAACCTTTAATGTTGGTAAAAGGTACGTTATAATTACTGGCTTCTCCCCTGGGTTAGCCTGCCACTTAAACAACCTGATTGATAGGTCCATTCAGGGGAGAAAAAAACGAAATAGCTACCCAGGGTACCTGTCTTTCTTATATAACAGCCCAAAGAGAAGGCACATGGAGCGTAATTGTTGATCCAGGACAAATGAAGAAGGCACACGGGCTCCCCTGCCAACCCGGATTTCTCCTATGAAGCTAAACACAGGGAGGAGATGGGGTCCATGGACAGCGGGAAGGGGAATGATCCCGCGAGGCTTATCACGTGGCTCTGACACAGCAGAGAACCGGCCCCAGCACACAGGAAGGTGATCGTTCAGGGGTGGCTGCGTTCCAGTAAGATCTTTCATTGTTCTGAAATGGGTCCCCTGCCAACAGAGATCTGAAATCTCTGGCAGATGATCCGAATTTGGCCGAGCCGGAGAAGGTTGCTGGCCAGCCTGGGCTTTGTGTGTGGTGACAGCGATGACCCCGCGGCATTGGGTAGCAGCACTGAACGCAGCCACTGCCAGAGAAGGAGGCTCGCTGTGGCTTAATCAATGTGTATTCGTGGAAAAAAATCCCAGCAGGGAAAAATACCTATCAGCTAATTTGTTCCCCTCGACCTTATTTAAAACCCCCAAACAAGCGAGCAAGTATGGTGCCCTCTGTTCTCATTAATAAAAAAGAAACGATCACAGCGCTCGAAACTCTTCTAAGAAAAATGCGATCCAAATGCGGAGTGTGTGCAAATGTGACGGACGGCGTTTACCCTCCCGGGAGCTGGAGAGCGAGATTTCTCCCCATGTTCCACAAAGAGGAGAAACAAACCACGGGAGCAAGACTCTCGCTCGAGGTCCAGAGCAGGACCCAAAATAAGGCAGGGCGTGAGCTCCGAGGATGACCGAGAGGGACGCGCAGACACAATGCGTCCCGTGAACGCAAAGAACGTTCCCTCAATATCAGCCCGGCGGGTTTTCGATGCGTGCTTATAAAGGTGCTTAAACTGCGGGCGCTCAGGGTGTGGATACAAATTTTACATGGGTTCGAACCGATGAAATCCTGGATTGCCAAGACGGACGTCATTTTTGGCTTCTTCGTGCAGAGATGATCAGCTGAGCAGAAAGTGGTCGGCTCGTGAGTGGGGGAGGGGCAGTCCTGGGAGACCGATGTTCCGAGTCAAGAAAAAAGTAAACCCGAAGGATGTAAATCAATTTATTTCTCTTTTCGTTTTCCATATACTGTTCCTTTCCCTTTCCTGCCTCATCAAATATTCATTTTCAAAGGCTTGATTCTACTTTATCTTTCTTTTGTAGTCTGGACTAGTGAGTTGGACTCACTAAAGAAATAGGATTTTGGAATCAATTATTTGGCTCAATTAGCTTGTATTCATCACGAAAGAGAGTGATTCTGGGGCCAAGTCCTAACATCTCCGTGCTACCTGCACCCGCCCCCAACCCCAGCCGCTGCCGATCGCGTCCTTCCAGTTTGCGTGGACAGCCCCGCCTGGTAACTGTGACGGGTTGTCGCAGATTCAAGATCAGAAAAGGGGGTACAAGATGCCGGCTCCCCGACTCAGTCATCATTTAGGATCAGAGTTGCCTGGAAAAGCAGACATGAGAGGCGCCTACACCCTCATTTCACCAACCGGGAAAATGAATAGCAGAGTAGGACGGTGAGTGGTCTCTGCCTTGCTGCCCTCACTGGCCTCGAGGGCTGCAGGCGGGAGCTGTGCAGAGCACGCACCTACCTGGGGACGTAAATCACATAGCCCCGCTCCCCTGAGGCCTCCCCCTCCCGCAGGATTCCACGTGTCCGGTCCCCTCAGCTCCCAGTCTCCCTTGAGACACCTCACACTGCTGCAGACAGGTGAAAACGGGCCTGTCCACCCCGAGAAAGAAAGGGAGCCGGCAGGTCCTCTGGTTTGCTGCCCACACCTTTTTTGTATCAAGTATGGGGAGGGGATTACTCTGTTTTTAAGGTGATTCTGCTTTTAAGCTCAGGGGACAGGTGGTGAAAGGGATTAAGCTTTATTTTTTATTAGATTTTCCAATTTTATACACCTCTCAAGACTGCTACTCTTGAAGCCCGTTAAGATGATCACCTGGCTTTCTAGGATATGGATTGGGGTATGAGATATTCAAATTGAGGGTTCAAGCATGCATGGCCACCCACCCACCCCCACGTCCCGACGCGTGTGAGAAAAAGCAGGCCTGGGGGCCACCCCGGTGCCAAGACAGGATCTTAGACCGGCGGAGTCCGGTAGAGGTGGAGCAGACTGGAAATGTCTCTGGAGGGGACATTTTCCTTATGGCTGAGAAATGACTGGCTCAAGGTTATACGGCAAGTTGGGAGGGGCTGAGGTTGGAGCAAGACCCTCGGGACTCCCCAGACAGTGCACTGTCCGTTCTCTCTCTGTTAGGACCCGGCCAGAAAGTGTGACACCGTGAGGCCCTGCTCACCCCTCCGACAATGGTGAGAACCAGCACTCAGGAAAGCGGGCTCTGTTCTCGGGCCAGCTCCCTCCAGGCAGTGCAAACTGCCCCCCACTGTCTGACCGGAGCCTCCGGGAACTTTCTGCTCTGACGGGGGTAGAATTTCTTGCTGAGTTCTGATCTCACCCCCTTGGGCCTTTCTCCCCCAGGACTGACTTGGCCCCGAACCTGGCGAAAGCTCCAGGCCTGGCCCCGTGGGCTGCTGGGAAGGCCTCCAGGTGTTTCTTTTCCATTTAGAACTCAGTGTTGCTTTTGAGATGCTCAGCATCAGAGGCCTTTTGCCAGGCAGCTCCCCACCATTTTCCTTCCTTTCCTCTCTGCCTGTTACACTGGGGGAGAAGCGCCCAGCCCCCACGCCCCGCGGGAGGGGCCCACAAAGGCGAGGCCTCGCAGCAGCCGCCTGCCATTCTCCAGCGCGTGGCCATGCAGCAGACATGCTGGGGCCAGGCGCGCCCTCACCCACCTCTTTGAAGGATTTCTTTACCTCCACCAAGGAGTGCCAGTGCGCAATGGGCTTCCGCGGGTACGCCAGCATCTCGTTCCAGTGGTCCCGGCCCAGGCCGTCGGCGCTGATCCCCACGCGGCAGACTCCGATGATCTCGTTGTGGCCCACTCTGAGGGAGAGACAAAGGGCCCGCCCGGCGTTGGGGACCAGACATGCTCGCAGAAAGGGGGGCCCTGGGGTCTGGGACTCTGCCCTGCAGAGAAGGGCCGCGGGGTGCCGGCGGCAGTGACGCTTTGCCCAGCCTCCTCGGGTGGACAGTGGACACGGGCAGATGAGCGTGAGGTGGTAAACGCATTTGAAGTCTCAGGAAATGGTGGGTAGATGGCCTGACTTTGGGGAGTTGGAGGGTTTCGGTCTCTTCCCTTGTCTGACTCGGCTCGCATGCCACACCTGCGCTATAGACACAGCATTTGGAAATAAAGCAGCCTGCTCTGAGCGCCATTTCTCCACACCCCCGGCCACTGGGATGTGATTTACTCACGCAGCAAGAACATCAATCATCCCTCAGCTATGTTCACCGAGCACCTACTATGCCCGAGAACTTGTGCTACAATTCCTGGATTGAGACTTTACTGCATGGTTTCTTTCTCCTTCGGCCAAAGTGACAAGTGCAGAGAGGAGCCGTAGTGGCTAGAGCAGTCAGAAAATATTTTTGAGCCAGACTTGAATGAAGAGCAGGATTTGGATAAATGGAAGACAAGAAAGATGTCCCCAAAAGGAGAAATCAACGATGGGCATGCTGGTTCCAGATTATGGAGAGCCTTGAGAGTCCAGGGGAAGATCCTGGATGACAGGAGACATCGATGGTTCTTGAGAAGGGCAGATCCAGGAGGAAAGTGGTCTTTGATTAGGAAGGCGTGCCTTTAACCCGCTGGCTGGGTTGAGGCAGGGAGGAGTGATGGAGGCAGGAGTCGGCGGGAGCCTGCACAGCCAACCCCGAGCAGGAGTGGTAGCAGCAGCAGAATGGGGAGGACAGGGAGGCATTTTAAAGTAGGGGTCCTCAACCCCCGGGCTGTGGACCGGTACTGGTCAGTGGCCTGTTAGGAACCGGGCCGCACAGCAGAAGGTGAGTAGCTGACTAGGAGCGAAGCTTCATCTGTATTTGCAGCCGCTCCCCAGCGCCAGCATCACCGCCTCGACTCCACCTCAGATCATCAAGCACTAGATTCCCATAGGTGCACCGGTCCCTGGTGCCAGAAAGGTTGGGGAGCAATGTTAAAGGACAGATGATAGGACTTGGTGCCATATGGAGGAATGGGAACAGGCAGGGGTGAACTCAGGGGAACTGATGGGCGGAGCTGCCTGATGGAATCGGCACTGAGAAGCAAAGCTTGAGCTTCTGCCTGAGGGAACCTGTGCTCTCCAACTCCTGCACGCTTCTCGGGTGGAGTCAGATTTGAGGCCACGGGGCACCTGAGCCATGAACCACAAGGTCGGAGGTCAGGGAGCCCTGTGCTGCATTGGGGGCAGGGGGTGCGGTGAGGGGCAGGAAATCGTGTACCCACCGGTCATAATCCATAACGGAGATGAGCAGGCTGACTTGATCCATGTTCTCCGGGGGAATGTCAAAGATGATGGCCTCATTGTAGACGGGATTGAGCGTGTTCTTCTTTATGGTGGTTTTCTTCTTCTTCAGCCTGCGCCCGTCACAAAGCAGCGACACTTTGACGTATGGATCTGTGCCGACGGCAAGGGAAAAGTGTGTATTAAACAGATGTCCTCGAACGTCATTAGCAACAGAGGGACAGAAGCCCTAGAACTACTGTTGCTCATCAGATGGTACCGGTGGGTTGTTAAAATAATTAAACCACCTTGTATTTATGCAGCACACCTGTCTCTGAGGACACCCTGTGCTTAATAACAGAGTCTTTAGCAACCTCAGGGTCCTTGGGAGAGCGCTTAATGGACTTGCACCAATGGGGAAGCTGGCCCCACATCAGACAGGATGCCGTCCATGCCCTAAATCTCAGCTCCACGATGGCCGGCTGGCTTCAAAGGGCGGTGAAGCTGAGCAGAGGCACTCTATTCCTTCCACCTCCTTGGAGTCTTTTTCTCCGGGGGGTTTGTCAGCATTATTAACCAAAGGATGTGGGGTAAAAATAGAATTCAATGACACCCAAGGAGTAGCAACATGTCAGAGTAAATGAACGGTGACAGTCACAGTGACAATCACAATGCTGTTCGTGTCCTCCCCACCGGACAAAAGGATTATGGGTCCCATTGTCCCAACAAGCTAATTTGCATCTGGCTTCCCAAAGGGGAGCAGTGGCCCTGCCCTCTGACTCCCTGGGAGCCATTTCCTGCCCACTTCCGGGCAGTGGCGGAGGAGGGCGCTAGGGCCTGGGGCAGTGAGCCAGGCGGCTCCTCACACAGGGCAGCCAGTTGATTTTTCATTTCTCAGTGGGGTCTTGGATTCTCTCCATCCCGCGAGAAGACAGCGTTTTACTGGACACCTCAGGCCTCCCACCTTCGTTTCTTCTTTAGTTCTCTGAATGGGTATTTTTCATGGTCATCTTTCTACCCTGGAATTTTCTACTCATCCAAGTGAAGTGACATCTATTGTATCTCATAGCACAGGTGTCTCGGTCACCTTCATAATTGTTATTTATGCCGCACAGCTCAAGAAGTGGGAGGGCGAGTCACAGGTAATAACAGCTTTTGAGACGCTGATGTGCTGAGACACCTTCTTGCCCAGAAGCCAGGGCTCATGTGACTCTGTCAAGAGGTGGGGGCCAAGCAGCCCCTCCCGGGCTCCTCGATGCACAGGCGTGTGGTGCGTCGCCCGGGCACCCCAGCACCCAGCAGGCCCTCCTGCTTCCCGGGCATAGTTCGGGTGTCAGCCGAGGCACACAGCTGCAGGGGAGCTAGAGAGAACTGTGACACCTATCAGAAACTCCAAGCCTTAAAGGGATTTCGTAGACACCCAAATGAGCCACTGACTAACCAGTGTGACAGTGACATCTGTGCCTTAACCATGGGGACACTGGGTTTATGGGTTTGGGAGACCGTTTGGGAGGTGTTTAATCAACCAGCTGTCCCTGACGACCCATTCGAAAGGGCCCTCCCTCAGGAAGACTTTCAGTAAAAGGGAAGGAAGCAGTCAGAACCGCTGTGGGACAGCTTTCTGCTTCTGCAGGCTCCATTTCCTGGGGATACACCCGGGACAGAGTTCAGGCCAAGCAGAGCAGCGGGAAAGATTTCCCAGGCCTGTGTCTTCAGCCTGGCAAC